TAGGGGTATGGCATGCACATGTGACTTGCTCTAGCCTCATCAAAGTCAATATTGGTTATATTCGTGGGTGAAATTAGTCTTTATTTTTATACCCACCAAAAGCCTAGGTATTTGCTTGGCTTCAGTTTCGTTTTCTACATGCAAATAAACTTCACTTCCCATAGTTATTAGTCCAACCTCGAAGTCTGCGCTTGGTGATCAACCTTCTCCCCTCAACGCTTCCCTTCGAACTGTAAATCAAATGCCGTCATTAGCATTCGACCAATAGTGGTTTTGAAACTGCATGCAAATCTGCATGCTTTAAAGTAATCGTAATTGTGAGCTGCATCTAATGAACTAGAGGACCTTCGCTTTGGAAAATTAAACTTAAATCGCTTGAAATTTTTAAGTATAACGTTTCGGCCGCCTATATCTCTTCTTTCAGTATACCGAACACTGGACAAAGGTGAAAGAACTTTAGTTCTCAGTCAGATCAGCTCCCTAGCTTAGTTTAAATTGCGGACACTGTTATAATTTTAGCGAATTATATTGGGTATCCAGTTAAAGAATTGCAACAAACATTTTAATTAATATTAAAAAGGCAGCACTATGAGCTGTGCTTTACGCTTTAATAAAAGCGATCCACGGGGCTGGTTGATGGCTCCCTGGTGGGTTTACAACAAGCTGCAAAGTAGCCTCTCCAAAAAGCTTAGGCAGAGTTTAATATGGCACTCTACTTTGAATGGAAATTGTCTCTACGAGCAGACATGTAAGTCCCAGGAACTAATTGAGAAGAAGCCGACTCGATCGCTGGGACAATACTTTTATTCGCCTGACGTTTCGACATCCGTCGCGGATTCAGCATCAGAGACATTAACAGAAAACGGTAACAGAAACGGGTAATACATGCTCAGGAGTTTTGCAGTATTTAAAGGATATAGTCAATACTGGAAACATGCGGCGACAATTAACGTTAATTGCCTTCTTGCGCGTGGAAAGTTTGTTGGACGGCATGCGGGCTCTGACCTGTTGAACTTTCATCACGCGTGGTGGACTCGGGCGTGATGATTGCTCGGCCAGAGGACACTAGGGCATTCCTTTGAATGGAATTTGTCTCGTCACAAAGCCATACGAAATATCAGTGGTACATGAAACTGATGTAGATTTCTCCCAGCAGTCTTCTTTTAGAAACGTGAAACACTTCAGCTTTTTAAATTAATAATGTCTTCCCAACATTGCTTAGTGAACATTTTTTGGCTTTTGGTGAGTAACCGCTGTTACCTCAGTGTTGTTATGAACTCGGATAGGCAGAACAACACGATTTCTGTTTCATAAGCAATTCTCTGTAATTTGACGAAAATAAGTAAAGATTTAAACTTGCGCGTTCAGCTATGTGGATGCTTTCTGTGGTAAATTAAATTGCACGATACGTAGCAGGACTCAACAGTAAGATATCCGTCTATGAAGACTGAGTACTTTGTGCAGATCAAATTTCTAGAAAAAGATTAACGTATCTACTTAAGTAACAAGGACTGCATTTAGATGTCACACGAGGGTGGCGTTACCTGAGCTACCCTGATTGAAAAACGGAAATGCACAATTGATTTTGCCCTTGGAGGTCCAGAGCTGGAGTCCGTTTCGACTCTCCTCTAGTGACTAGCAATTAATCAGCATGGATGCTTAAAGGTTCACAGCTCAAAGGCCAAACGGAAATATCTGTTATTTGGATTACTTTTCATTTGTTTCTGGCTGTACAATCCGCATATAAACGGGGGGCGTAAGTCTGGTAGCCAACAACGATAAATACGCAATGCTCCTTGACTAAGCTGAGATGCATTGAAACCTCGGGTGTATTGGCAGAAGAGCCTAGAGTATCAGTGGCCAGTGACGGCGAATAAGCCTGTGATCGTCACTTTAATGTCTTTATTGTGGGTCGGTTATCCCTCTCGGTTAACTGTATAGTTATCTGACTTCATGTCTTAATGTTTTCATTTTTAGGTAAACTTTCCAATTTATATGACAGAATTTACCTCATTACACCTAGTTCTGTTATTAAGATCTTGTTTAGCAACGATTTTATTGATTTAAAGTGAATTTTTGGTTTACTTGCTACTTGTTCAGTCCAGCTATAATATCCATGTAAACATTTGAGGAGTCGAATTTTACAAACATGCGTTTTCGATTGTTCGACATCCATCCTATACTTCGATAGTTACTTCGTCGATTCCTACGATGTCCACGGTTTGCTCCACAGCATATTGGTGTAGGGACGGTGATTTAGGTGCGGACTAATTTTGAGTTATAATAGACTTAATTTGCCCTCATTCGCCCGTGCCCAGTGTCAAGACAGAGTCAAGAAGACCCGAGGCAGGATCGGGCGTAGGCGGGTGGAGCCGCTGTCTCTGATTCAGATCCCACAGAATGGAAGTGTCCTAAATGCCATTGATAACTTAGCCTGCACCTACGCATGCCTCAAGCGCCCCTCCACACATGTGGGGCATTTTATGGGGAACACAGCCCGAAGAACGCCTGTCGTACCCTGCTCTGACCCCCAAATTGGTCCAGCGCACCTACCACGCGGCTCCTTTAGGGTGCACCCCAGCTTATAAAGTGACATAAGAGGGCAAGGAGTA